ATAGTAACGAACCTTTTTGAAGGGTTTATTGTTTTTCACTCCGTAGGTTGGTTGGACAGAGTAGCCGTTAATAAGCAATTTAAATATCTATAATATAGGATAGGTACCTACTATCAGATAAAGAAACAAATACAGAACAAAACAAAGACGAAGAAGACGACGCTGAAATCTATAATTCTGATATTGAATGAAACAGATGATTCTATTGATCAATGTGATATTGATGAATGGTTATGAATTTACGTTCAACAAACAAGATCAGCATCAATATACATGAACATATAATCTAGATAATAAATAGGAATAAGAGATTAGTTTCTCTGGAATGGTTCAATATATTCTTTCATTTACAACAAAAGGTCTCCGTCAGAATTCAAATTAATCAATGAAGATGCAGCGCCGTAGCCGTGAGGCTCGCCTGCATGTCGAACCCAACTTCATAGACTTGGCAGACGATCTTCGTTGTCTCTTATTTGTGGCAGACTATTATTTATGTGTTTTTTACTATAAAAAGAAGTATTTCAAATAAATTTCAGCCTTGCGGGTATGTTTTTTTTTTTAAATTTTTTGCGCTTACTTATGCATTACTTACTTACTTATCACCCTCTTCATAATAAATATAGACATATTTGAAATTAAAATCAATAAATAATATCTTAAAAAATTATCTATTGTCATGGTAAAGTAAAACAGTAATATTATTGCTCATTTTTATCTTCAAGCATTTTATCGAATTTCACACTTCATGCATAGTTCGTCTTCCAAAAAAAAAAAAAAAAGAATAAGAGATTAGTTTCTCTAGAATGGATCAATATATCCTTAATTTTTACATCAAAAGGTCTCCTCCAGAATTTAAATTAGGAAATGAAAATGCAGCGTCGTAGCCGTGGTGCTCGCCTGCATGTCGAACCCAACTTCATAGGCTTGGCAGACGATCTTCGTTGTATCTTATTTGTGGCAGACTATTATTTTTATGTTTTTTACTATAAAAAGAAGTATTTCAAATAAATTTCAGCCTTGCGGGTATGATTTTTTTTTAAAATTTTTTGGCGCTTACTTATGTGGGTGACAGACGACTTTTGTTGTGGAGTTTAGGTGGCAGACGATATTTTTTAAGCTTTCTATGTTTCTACCAATACGTACAAAAAGTTTCGCTTATGCGGCTATGAATTTTTTTCGTTAATTTTCTGCCATCTTTGTAACTTTCTTGTAACCCCCTGTCGTGCGGGTGCGCTGGCAGACGTTCATATTACTATCATATATTACACGCATAATAAATACAAAAAGAATGAAGCTTGCGAAAATGGTACAATAAAATATGTCGTTAACTCCCGGACTATAAAGCCAAAATACAATCAACCACCCTCGAGAGCTTCAAGCCAAGTCGACTCTCTTTTAAAGAAGTCAATTTACCGATATTGGACCTATCATTGATTAACCATAACCAATCAATGCCCTACGACCTACCTTCATTGGATTTGAACATCATTAACGTCAAGACATCCAAAGACATAAAAGAAAAACTTCATGAACAAAAGAAGAAACTTGCAGAAATGTCAACCACGACGATTTATTCAAATCGCCTCAGTCTCAGGACAATATTATTATACTTAATCATTATATTAATTTTAATTTACTTTTTCAGCTTATTGTGCATTAAGAAAATTCGAAAGTTCCCAAAAAGTGAAAGTGATGAAGTTGAAGGCATTTTTTAATTATTTTTGTATTTTTGTGAAATCACGTTTTTTATTTTTCAGTACGTACTTTCAACTTACACGGGAGGAGTTACATTCTCATAAACTTAGAGTTCAGCATTTTGTTACTTTGTTTTCAGAACTAGTCCGACCGTTGCATTTCTTGGGAACCGCTTTGTCAGCAAAGCTAATAATTATAAATATTAATTTTACTTAGGTTTAAGTCAGTTGTATAGAAGATTTCATTATGAATAACTTTGACAAAAAGTCGACAAACAAAGCACAGAACATATCACCTCTAGAAAAGTATCTGCAATGGTATGTACCGGTTATGAATTACAGCGCCATCGTTGAATGAAAACCCAACTAATCGAGCATTCTTGACAAAAAGGCGAATCTATTTTTTCCCTATATTTTTATTATTTTTAAATAATTTTTAATGCTCAACTGCATTTGGTTTGCTGACTCCTTTTAGCTCTTTTCGCCTCATTTTCTTGAAAACTATGACTGGCAGGAAGTTTCCAATGTCGAACATAGTGCAAAGAGAGTTAGTAAGTTAGCAAGCGACACGCAGCTATAGGTAGATCGCAAAGTAAATACGAATAATAAATACAAATACGAACGAAACGAAACAAACGAACAAATACAAAAAATACGAACAAAAATTAGGGTTTTTTTCAACCAAAACTTTTTGAATTTTCACTTTAACGCGCGTGGGGACCGTGGGGTACAACAACACAATTTAAAAATTCAAATTTTGACTTTTGAAATGACAAAATAATTGACAAAACCAACCAACAGAAATCACTATCCACACCACAGATACCTGTAAATTTCTCTTATCTCCCGACAGTGTCGCCATCGTTGATTGAAAACCTAACTAAAAACCTTCGTCGCGATTCTCCCATTTGAGATATTTTTCTATAGGTGATATGTTCTGTGAAACAAAGTCACATAACCTATAAATAGCATTGTCAATGTTATTAATTTTTTTTTCAATTTTGGGCTTGAATTTAATAATTATGGCAGTTTTGGGAGAACGTGACATGTTCTATCGAGAGGCGATGAAGCGATGTGTGTTTGGTGATTGTAAAAGTGATAGTCGAACGAGTTCCATTAAATTAACGACCCCATTTGCCTCTACTGGAGTTTTAGGTAACACAGCACTTGTCACATCACTCTCTGTTAATTTTATCGAATGTTTTGCAACCAAAGAAGCTATACCGAATGTACCGAATACTTACGAGAGCGTAGATTTGCCAAGATGCTGTGCTAAATACCTAAAACTCCAAAGGAGACACAATGCTATTTATAGGTTATGTGACTTTGTTTGTCGACTTTCTGCCAAAGTCATTCATAATGAAATCTTCTATTGTAACCACCATTGAAAATAATTTTTTTTAAAAACCAACTCTCAAAATTCGAGTTGTTAACTCTACACAATTTTTTCTCGAGTGGTATTCTTCATGACTATTTTACGTAAGATTTTGAAAATAAATAAAATGCAAATTTATGAATAAAACCTTCAAATTAAAAATACCAGTTTGACAATGTCAAAAAGTGGTCGCTGAAATACCATGTTGTTGATATTGTCCAGGTAGCATTATTGTCAGGTGAATACCGAATTTAATGCCGGTGTAATACACTAGTGAAATAGTCATATATAATATCACAAGAGAAAAAAAATTGTCGGCAAAATTTTCGAAAGGTATGAAAGTTTGTTGCTTGGCAATTTCGCGAATGACATTTTTGACAAAATCACGAGCCATCAGGCGAGTGATTTTATCAAAAATGTCATGAGCGAAATTGCCGAAAAGCAACAAACTTGAATAAAACCTTGAGAACAATTTTGCCTACACAATTTTTTCTCGAGTGGTATTCGTCATGACTATTTCACGTAAGATTTTGAAAATAAATAGAATGCAAAATTATTAATAAAAACTTCAAATTAAAAATACCAGTTTGACAATGTCAAAAAATGGTCAATAGTAATATAATTAGTGCAATGGAAATTATTGATAATTTTTGGGAAATTTGCCCGAATGCATTTTTAGTTGAAAAAGAGCACGAATGCACGTAGTGCATGAGTGCCTTTTTCAGTTAAAAACGCATGAGTGCAAATTTGTCGAAAATTATAAATATATTTCCATTGCACGAGTTGTATTTAATGAGAGAATTTCATAAATCAAAAATTTAAATTTTTTGTCAAAAAATGTCAAAACACCAGTTTTTGCACCAGTTAGTATGCAATTATCTGATAATTTGCACTAGTGCAAATTATCGCGTAATTACAATCTGATTGGTTCAAATCAACAATCAAAACATGTCAATTTATTGTTGGAATATCAGTTTTGACAGATGTATGAAATTCTCGCTGAAATACCATGTTGTTGATATTGTCCAGGTAGCATTATTGTCAGGTGAATACCGAATTTAATGCCGGTGTAATACACTAGTGAAATAGTCATTGAAATATCAAGTTTACTTTGACAAAAAAAGGCTCTAGTGTAATTAATTATTAACTTTCTAATACCAAATAACATCATGAGAGTGAACCAAGGCCTTTCTGTTACCATTCAACAGTGACTACAATCTAAAACTGGGATACGATTTATTCTATCTTATTCGAATTGCTCTTCATCTACGGAAATTTGTTTGTTGTCACAAGAAATGCCATTTACAATTACCACATTATAGGATTGAATACGGAATATTCGACTTTATACATGTGCATAATTTGTTACATCCTGACTTGCAGTTGCAATATATAATATTCAGAACAAAATTAGGTGCCACTGCCTTTAACATAGTTTTTGTAACCAACGTGTCTTTTTTTTTCATCCCAACCCCAATGTGTTGGTTCTTTTTTATTATTAAGCCAATATTGAATTTGTAAGTAAGTCCTATAGTAATGATTCTCATCAGCTCCGTCTGAAGTTAGAGGCGAAGTTAAAAACCGACGGTTCGATATCGATATTACAAAGCAACTTCGTTAACTCTAAAAACTAAAAGTAACCTCAAGTAGTTAATTCTCACCATCCAGATAAGGTATGGGAACGTCTTTAGCGGCAAGAATACCCTCCATGGGTTATATGTATTTATATTTACAATAATTGAGGTTCCTTCAATTTGTAGTTCCGACAAAAGGAAACATCTTTTCGGTAACGCGGTAATACTTTAAAATTTTCAAAATACATTTTAATTGGTTTTTTTTGAAACAATATCCTCTTTCTCATTGATATTCTTATAGTTGATATTTCCTTTTTCCAATAAGTAGGTAAGTATACACTTATCATTTCAAAAGTATTAAAAGTGTGTTTTACACCATTTTTCTAGTTTCGCACTCGGTGTTTTGGTTTGGGTTTCTATCATATTATCCTAAAACATATCATAAATAAATATTTTTTGACTAAGATTTCATTCAATAATGTTAACCTACCTTAATGTTTTCACTGTTTTTCTCGCCCAGAAAATATTTTTGTATTTGGAAAATTGGATATTCAAAGGCCAACACCCAAAATACGGATACAGCGATAGACGCTGTTAGGCCGCCCCAAAAGCTGTAGAGCTGGAAGCGATAAATAAATTAGCTAGTTTTAGATTATATTGCTGAAAAAACTAGAAAAAACTAGAAAAAACTGAAGTATCCAAACACCCACGGGTACTTACAAAATCAAAAACTGTAAAATATGTAGGTTCCTTTCGCATTAACGAAACAATAAACAAAATGTTCAAATGTAACATGGACATGCTAAATACAATTCGGCTTAATATATGAAATACCGGTAACGACAAAAATGTATTTATGTAACCTAAAATTCCAAACATATAATATTTTTCCAAGAAAATAATTAGAATGTACCTCCGTTTTCAGTAGAACAAGCAAAAATTACCCATGCTACGCACAGTCCCCATGCTGGTCTCGTAAGTGCATTATACACGGCATGATCGTAGGGATGGTATTCTTCGTCAAGTAATCTATCAGTACCTACCAGGACACATACTGGCATTGCTATAAGTGTAATGATCCATAGCATAACTATGATGCACTAAAAATTAAAACAATTTGTTTTGTGTGAAGTAAAATGAAACCCATTTCTCTGCATGATCATAACAATATCGTAAATATGACTCACTGCAGAAAAATAGATATTATTTTCTGACTTATTTTTTAAATCGGGATGAATCCCGACTTAGAAGTCTATGGCAGGATTAATCCCGATTTACAAAGTTATCGCAGGAATAATCCTGAATTATACTATTAACCTGCGGAAGCTAAAGGCAATTCTCAAGGAAGTATATGCAGAAGGTACCTCAAATCACATCTGATCTGCATAATCTCAAAGCATACAGAGGCTTCGAAATAAATCGGAATTAATACTATCCAGTATCCTGGAGATAACCTGACAATATATTTTGTAAGTCGGGAATGAAATCTCGACTCACAAATGATCTCAGAATTAATCCTGACATAGTCCTTCTAAGTCGGGATCAGTCCCGATTTGAAAAATAAGTCAGGATTATTCCTGAGATAAATCTATAAGTCGGGATTATTCCTGAGACCATCACAGGAATAATCCTGAGTTGTGAGAAAAAACTCGTATCTAAATTTTGAACATTTAATGCTTCTCTGATGAGTAATGATTGGGGATTTCAAGAATAAATTTTAATTTAAAGGGGGTGTGACCCAAAAATGAAAGTTGTAGTGCAAAAAAATCTAAGAATAAATATTTAAACCGCATTTTGCTACGATGATCCGTTTTAGAGTTAGGGCGGTTTAAAGTTACAACTAGGTTTTTGTGACGTCACACTAAATTATCAGGGACAGTATTAACACGTTTAAGAATTTTCTAAAACAAAAGAAAATTATCTCCTAGAGCGAATTGCAAACACTTAAATTATGGGGTAGGTACGGTTCACTGATGACTGAACGAACAGAAGTCTGCGATTTCGGCGGTTGTGACATCACAAGCCCCTGCATAATTTATCTTCAAATGGAATTTTCTCGGAGACTATTTTGAATATAGGACTACGGTTTTCACAGGAGATCTAAGATTTTTTTTTTTAAATTCAAGTAGCTTAATTCGTTTTTTAGGGTCACACCCCTTTTTTAAGAGAAATCAGTGGCGTACCATCAATGTCTGCCAAAATAGGCAGTTCAAATTCCGTATGAACGCCATTGATAGAAATTCAAAAAAATGTAATACATCAGAAAATGCCTCTTGATATAAATGTATGCCAAATTTCATTAAAATATTTGAAGTTACCGATATTAATAATAAATGATTTTTGAAAACTTTATCACCCTGTATCTCGAAAGTTAAGACGTTCAGGTCATACGTTCATAGTTCATATGAAGCTTTCTTCTTAAAATATACTTAAAAATAACCTCCTTAGATATTACCATTCAATTAGAAAACACAAAACATTCTGTATATATTTGTAAAACTAAAGAAGCAAAGCTTTTATACGGAAGAAAGAGTTTTTCTGACAATAAAAATTGGCCGTATCAGCACTATTTATTCTTTATTTACTTAAATATAAATAAATATGTATCAAATGCAATCGACTGCTGTATTATTCTAGGAAAATTGCCGATTTTCAAAAAAATCCTACCCTAATGAATTTTTCATGGATGATAGGGGGCGGATGGGTAATCATAAAACCGAAGATATCACACATGCACCTCTCTGGCGTTTTGCGCTATAGGGTTTGAAAGTGCGCCATTGGCGATTACTTTGTAGGTACATTGCCTTCAACATTGAGTAAAAGCTCCATAGGATGGATGGCTTAATTTTTTTTGCATTTTTCAGGGTATTTGATTATATTTGGACCCATACCTACAGCCCTTACTATTTAAGATAGAAAAAAATTTAGAATACAAAACTTGACAGTTTTTTTCTATATTTTCATTTAACGGTATCAGAAGAAACAAAATCGCATCGGATTCCTGATTCCAAATACATATACATTGATCACATTCGGGTGAGCCGTTTTTGAGTTATCTTAGCTTAAATTATAAATAAAATCCAAAGAAATTTTATAAGGATTTGAAGGTCTTGACATCCTCATGAAATTTCTTTGCCAATTATTTAAAATTTAAGCCAAAATATGTCAAAAACAACTAACTCAAATGTAATCAATATGTATATATTTGGAATCAGGAAGAAAAGATCTTTCATTTTATCGCAAAATATACAGGGTGTTCCATTAAAAAAAGTAGAAGTTGTCTACGTTTCTCCATTTTTTGATGCGATTTTGTTTTTTTTTTTTTTAAACGTTAAAAGAAAACATAGAAAAAAACTGTCAATATTTGTATTTAATTTTTTTTTTCCATCTTAAATAGTAAAGGCTGTAGGTATGGGTCCAAATATAATCAAATACCCTGTACATATTGATTTTAGCAAAAAATTGTTTTAAATAAAAGATGTGCAACATTATTTGATCTACAATGTTTATCTAAAGACTTTTTTGATTAAGGGACATCTGCGGTCATGAAGGCCGTTTGAAATTTATAATAAAAATAATGTTTTTTCAACCAACGTGAAAAAATTTCCTACAACACATACAACGTTTTTGCTTTATGAAGTTTTTAATCAACCCCTGCCGTTTTTCAATAGGGGTAGTTTAAGGTTTTTTTTTTAATTTTTTTACAAACAAATTTCCTTATAAAAGTTTTATGAGATTACATTTTCTACAATTTTTCCTTATCAACTTTTTTTGTAACTCACCCCCATTCAGCGGGGGGACACTTTCCTCAGATGAATTTCTTTTATTTCCATTATAAATTTCAAACGGCCCATATGACCACAGTCCACAGACGGCCCTTAATCAAAAAAGTCTTAAGATAAACATTGTAGATCAAATTAATAATGTTGCACATCTTTTATTTGGAACAGTGGCGGACCCAGGGGAGTAGCGCGGGGGGCGCCCCCCCCCTGAGAGCCCGAAAAACTACTTTAAAACTCAAAACATTTGAAGAAAATCATAATATACATATAGAAAAATTTTATAGAAGAATTTTCCAATAAAATTTAATTGAGAATTTCATACATCTGTCAAAACTGGTATTCCAACAATAAATTGACATGTATTGATTGTTGATTTGAACCAATCAGATTGGAATTACGCGATAATTTGCACTAGTGCAAATTATCAGATAATTGCATACTAACTGGTGCGAAAACTGGTGTTTTGACATTTTTTGACAAAAAATTAAATTTTTGATTTATGAAATTCTCTCATTAAATACAACTCGTGCAATGGAAATATATTTATAATTTTCGACAAATTTGCACTCATGCATTTTTAACTGAAAAAGGCACTCGTGCACTACGTGTACGAGTGCTCTTTTTCAACTAAAAATGCATTCGGGCAAATTTCCCAAAAATTATCAATAATTTCCATTGCACTAGTTATATTACTATTGAAAATTTTTCAAATAAAATATTAAAGACAAATTTTCCAAGCTGACACCATTGTTCAATTTATCGTTTCATTTTTATCGGATAGTGATACTAACTACTAAAGCAGGTATAATATATATTTTTTTTCTCCAAAACTGTTAGAGATAGACCTATTATTGAACCTTGTACCATTAGAATAAGCACGAATAGAGCTCCAATAAGTTATTAATATACACTGTGGACCTTTATCTGGAACCCAATTTGGCTCTGAATATACGGGTGTTCGGCACATGAGTAGACATACGTGAATCTGAGATAGGTGGGGACGTCTGCTCTGCGGTCCACCCAGATATTTCGACTTGGGCCCTAAGAATTTTTTTTTAGAATTTTTTAATTTTTTTTCCAAAAATTTTGCTGGTTTTAAGCTGATATAACTTTTCGAAAAATCATGAAACTGACAACATTTTTATTCTATTTTCATCTAGATTAATTCTAGAGTCATATAAAATTTATTTATTGGGGCCCATGACAGCTACAAAGAAAAATACGGGCCCTCAAACCACAAAAAGAGGTAAAAAATAATTCTAATAGACAACTTTGCATTGCATTTTAAAAAAATATTAGAAATGATAGAGTATTTCTAATTAGTCAAAAACATCTCCAATTTATGCCCTTTCGAACGATATGCAATAACCACAATTTGCTTAAAAACAGCAAGAGTTATTTGGCAATTTTATCAATGGTGGGCATTTTTTACGAAATTCTTCTTTTGAGGTAAGTGCATTTTTTACGTTGAAAACTTACAGGAGCTACTAAATAGAACACTATGATATTGATTTTATAATGTATTCATAAAAATTGTTCGAATTGCCGCCCTCCATTATTTATTGAAAATTTTGGAAAAAAATTAAAAAAAATAATTCTTAGGGCCCAGGTCAAAAAATCTGGGTGGACCGCATAGCAGACGGCCCCACCTATCTTAGATTTACGTATGTCTTCTCATGTGGGGTGTTTTCTCCAATTTTGTTTGTGTAAATATTAGGGGGCCTTTGCGGCCTTTCCTAAGTTATTGTAGAAAATATATCTAATCAAAATATACAGGGGGAGCCATTTAAAAAGCAGTATTTTTAATCATTGCCTTTGAGGCCGTTGCAAAATTAGGTAAAAGTTTAATTTTGCAACGGCCTCGAAGTCAATCAACTGCTTCTTACTTGCGGTGTCGTGTCCCCCTGTGAACTATACACTTTGATTAGATTTTTTCTCTACAATTCACGAAAAGTCCCCCTAATATTCACACTAAATTTCACAAAAATCCGCCGAATTGGAAAAAATATTTTCAGAGATAAATTGGGCTCCAAATAAATTTAGCCGGAGTGTTATAGGTCCTTCTATTAAAAAAATAAGAGTTTGGTCAATATCTCAAAATCGGCAAGTAGAAAAAAATTGAGTACGTCATTGGATTCTGCTTGAAAAAGTACTTCTAAAAAGTTTATAGAAAAAATCAATTATTTTTAGAAATAAAAAAGTTTGCAACAATCAAAAATTCATGATATTTAGGTAAGCCTCAGCGTATGGGGTTCATTTTTTTTGTATCTAACTCAGAACTTGACGTTTCCTATCAAAAGTGTCCAGATAAGACCACCCTGTACTTTCTTTAGTATCTTTAGCCTACAAGTAGTCGAAATAAATGTATCAAGAATCATTGTTGATAATTCTGAACCTGCGCCCCCCCCCCCTGAAGAAAATCGTGGGTCGGCGACTGATTTGGAACAATTTTTTTCCTAAAATCAATAAGTAACTACCAAGTAATCGCCAAAGGCGCACTTTCAACCCCTATAGCGCAAAACGCCAAACGGGTGCATGTGTGATATCTTCGGTTTAATGATTACTCACCCGCACCCTATCATCCCTGAAAAGTTCATTTGGGTAGGATTTTTTTTTGCAATCCATGTACTTTTCGACAATTTTCCTAGACTATATTGGAAATTCGCGGATGTCTCAAAGGTGTGAACGAATGGTCCATCAGTTAAAATACGCCACCTGATTATTGAGCTTTTTCCTTTGAGCCGAAAGCGGAGGTAAGATGATATTGACTACAGGGTCGAAATGCAGTAAATAGTAGAATATTACTTCTAACACATTCTAGAATATCGAACCTTGACTATAATTATAATACCTACCATTACTAATCATTCCAAAATCCTAATATTTAATGAGTCTCGTACCTTGGGAATTTTTTTAAATGCGGTGTCCTCCTGGAATTTGATTTTGGACAAAATATATCCCAAAATTCCGCCAATCAACCAGGGAGCAGCTCTATGGTGAGTTACTGAATAGTATAATACCATGAAAGTATACATGTTTCTGGAATTAAAATAATTACATATTAGATAGGTAGGTAATTTATATAACAACTTTTTTATCTGTATTTCAGAGAGAATGAATTGTATTTCCGTTTAGGCCCGCATGACACATACATTATCATTTCTGGTTAAAAAAAAGTTATCTACCAGAAAGGCAACGAATTGAAGGACCATGGAAATTCTTTTTGGGGTCGAAAGGAAATTTGTGTAGAATCTGATAAACGCACTGCTAATGATGATTTCGATAGAGTTCTGTGAAGAATCACGGCCCAGGGACCGTATTCTCGTAACCGGGGAACTGCGTTCTCAAGAGAATGATTGCTCTGTCTTAGTCGCCCATATTGTTAATTCCATAATACTGACAAAGACAGGGCGATCGTTATCCCCGGTTACGAGAATACGGGTCCAGGGTCCTTATTCTCGAAACTGGGGAACAGCGTTCTCATGAGAACGAAGGTTCTATCTTTGTCAGTGTTATGATATGATGATATGATATGAATATGAGCGACGAAGTGAGAACCTTCGTTCTCATGAGAATCCTGCTCCCCTGCTTCGAGAATAAGGATCCTAGGCTAAGACTCTGTATAACGAATAGAGCTGTTTTCTCTATCCCTATTGACGTCCCCTCTCTATTGACGTCCTCTCTCTATTGATGCCGAAAAGTCAGAAGAAAATAGCAAACCGCAAAGCGATGGGGATAACGAATATAACGATCCTATATCCGGTACAGAGTCCCAGCCCTGGTGTCATGAACGCAAACGGTCGTAATAAAGTACGCTGGGAAATTGAAGTAATTTTTAAAAAACCTTTTTCCACAGCACGGAACTTAATCGCTATAGAATATAGACCTTAGATCGTTGCTTGGATGAATATTAACCTTCAATCATACGGATGGCATCAATCATTCAAGTTTTTGAGGATGAGTAGATTCCATAAAAAAAATATATGGAAAAGTTTAAGTAAAAAACTATACACTTACGTGAATCTACTGTTAGTTACTGCAACCAGGCGCAAGTTCCAAGTAACAACAAAGGATGAAATTATAGAGCCTATAATACAGCATAAAATCAGTCCAATTCCAATTTTTGTCCGTTTCGACAATAAATACAGAAATATGGGCGATATAACATATAATTGCCAGTCGACGTTTAGGTACCAAGTAGATATAAGACACTAGAAATAATATTATTTTCAAATGTTAAAAGGCAATATTTTACTTACCTACAAATTCATTTCTAGTATAATTCTGGATATACAACAAAGACAACCACCAATATTTTCTGCAAGGTTCCACAATGATGTCGTCAATATCTGGATAAAATGGGCCATCACCTACGTATTTTGTTAAAAAAATTGTTGCTAATAGGTTTGGGATAACTATGGAAGAAAACCTGGAGAAAGACATTTATTGAATAATAATAAAAAATCATAATAAGGTATTCACCTTAAATATCTATGTAGATAGAACAAGCCAATGTTTAATTTTTTTCCTTGGTGCTTCAATTTCATAAAACCATAAATAACCAGCATCCCAAATACTACAAAAAACGTGTCCACTGAGTTTAGGGCATTCACAAAAATCATGCTTTCAACCCGTGAGGTAAACTATAAAAATTGTATTAGTGTTAATACATGCATTTATGAGATTTTTATTACCGAAACCATATCTTTGAAATTTGATAAAGGTTCCAAAAGAAAACGTGCTACAGAATGATGTCCGGCAATAACCCAAATGATGCTTACAAATTGTAAGCCGTGCACACATAAAAAATCTTCTGATGAGCTTTCCTTTTCATAGGAAAATAATTTCTTAGAGTTTGTTCGTATGGAGAATGATAGTAGAAGTGGGTGTTGTTTATCTAAAAATTTTCTAGATAAATAATTTGTTAATTTTCGGTTTTCTGGGTAGGTACTTACTGTCGTTTGTAAGTAAATCATATATTGTTGATGCTGTTAAAAGTATTATAAAAACTCCAAAAAAACATCTGAAAGAAAAATAAACTCTTAAAATTCAAACTTTCATTCGCAGAAATATCTCTTACATGGTAATAATAGCACCAAGATCCAAACGCTTGTTAACACTTTTCTTAGTTTGGCATTTAGCATTCCATGGAGCTGATAGTGCATTAGCAAAGGCCTTTTGTACATCAATTTCCATGCACTGATCAGGCAGGCATATACCTAAATAGGCCGTAACAAATTTTTCCTTCTTATTTTCGCTATCCAACGTTCCTCTGTATTCCATATAAGTGCGCTAAAAAAATAAATGTTATTGAATATTGCTACTATTGATAGGTTTGTATTTTTGGCAAATTTATAGTTTTGCCGTTAATATTTCACACTTTGTTCCCATGAACAGAATAAAACTGTTCAAACTTTACAGTGATACCTTTTTCTAGTAGAAATATACCATATACCTACTGATAACTTATAAGTAGTGCCTAAGGAACACTCCAGAAATTATCAAAATGTTGTTTAAAGCTGTCGGTAGTGCGTATTTGCCTGTGATTTAGCGAATTTTCCAGGTTAAATTGTTTTGTGGTGCTCTTCCAACAAAACATAAAGCTTTAGGAAATTGGTACTTCTGGTACCATTATTCTGTTCTGTTCTTCAGTACCGAATATTGCAAAAAAATTTATTAAAAGTATAAAAATCAAAAACTTTATTACCAATTCCAGAACTGCAACTACATACGAAAAATAAAATATTGATAATGTCTTACCTCAAAAGAATGCTCAAGAGTTGCAACAGCTTCACTGCCATTAAATGTAGCTGTAACCAAGCAGTATTTTCCATGGATATTTTTCTCTGAGTTTAGGATATTGAGGCACTGATCGTATCTACCCAACCAGTTGAAGTTTGCCTCGGTGATCCCTGATGGCATCTTTGCACTGGCATCAACCACTATAAAATAAATATTGTTAGGTATCATAAAAAATTCAATGGAAATGCGTTATTTAACACATCATTATACAATAGTACAATTTTCAAATTAATCATCGTTGTGGTAAACTGCATAACAACGAACATGACGTATTTTTCAAGCACTGTCTCAGAATTGAGCGGAGTGAAGCAGTTTCTGTTAGAAAAACTGGATTTTAAACGGTCAAGAGAAGAATAGAGTTCCTTACAGCTTAGAGCGGATTAATAAGAATATAGCGACATCAAACCATTTTCGAACCTAAAAAAAAAACGGAAAAAAATAAAGCCAACAAACGGAATAACTTTATTCACTGCACGTCGTTTGGTGAATCGAATTGTCGTGCGGTAAAGTATCGCATTCCGCGCTTTTAGGCCAAATTTGAACTATTTTTTGGTTTTTAATGCAATTTTTAACCAAAAATACGCCTAGCGAGACGCCTAGTGAAGGACTTCTATGAATATACAGGCATAGGGAAGCGTATTTCCGTTCTATAACATTATACAGATGAATTTCATTCTATACCGTGGTATAATTTGTTTATGTGAATCGCGCGTATGTTTACTCCAAATCATACCGCGATACAGATTAGTGTTTCACAAGACAAGATTTCTTGTCTTGCTGGGCCTATTCTTGTCTTGTCTTGCAAAGCAAGACAAGAAATGAAATTCATTCTTGTCTTGCCCGACTCTTGCAGAAAAAAATCTTGTCTTGCAAACAAGATTTCTTTCAATTTCTTGTTCTTGCATTATTGTTTTGTGACGTCATAGCAAGAGTGTGGTAGCAAAACACGACGGTTTTCTATCACACACGTCGGTTTTGGAGCGACGAGCGACGTGTTTCATCATAGTCTGTGGGGCCCTTAAGATTATGATTGGTGTCATTGTCATTGATAACGTGGTTGCCATCTTTCCTGGTTTAAAGGCTTTTTTTCGAGGAAACAGTTTCAAAAACCCTTTTAAAACAATTTCAGCTCTAACATCACTATAGGGTACTTGCATGGAAAATTAAATTGATTATTGTTTATTGCAAACTGTAAAGAATCGAAAAAAAATCGTTACTTTTTTTTCATTTCGCCTAAATATGATTATTCCGGAAGTTATTCAAATATTAAGTTTTGTATAAGGTACCTGTCCCAAATAAGGCCATGTTAGGAAGTTTTATTTTTTTTCAAACATTATCCACCAAACCCAACAAAAATCACGAGCTTATATGTGAAGTGTTTCGCTTGGATTACAGGAATATTAACCCCAATTTACTTATTTTTTCATATAAGTGGTGGTTTTTGCGTAAAACAAAAATGCTTACCATTGGCCTTATTTGGATCACTATGCTCCTAATAGGGCCACCATCAAAATTTTTTTTTAAATAAACTCAATTATTTATAGAAATATTATTATTTGAGAAATAGAACACAAAATAGAACTTAAACGTTTACTGCATTCTAAAAGAACAATAATTCTAAGTCCTGGGATGGTGATCCAAATAGGTCTACATACAAGTAGGACAAATGAACCGCAGCTTCTCTTGGTTGGTTAGAATTCAGGCGTTCCAAAACACATCACTTGGGTAATATATGATATGATACATTTTTTAAAAAAACCACTGTGATGTGAGCCCAAATGGACATTTTTCGTATGGCCTTATTAGGAACATGTTACATTGATAAAAAAAAAGTCTGTAACTAGAAATCTAGCAAAGATATTATTCTGTACTTACTCTGTAGCTTTCTCAATACATAAATGTCTGTTAAAAAATTACAATCGCTTTATTCATTTCATAAACACGTGTATAAATTAATTAAGTTCCAGCCTCAAAGTTATAACGTGACATATGAAATATGTGGTTGACTATTTTTCGACATATAACGAGTTCCTAGGAACACTTGCAATGATTTTTGATTCGCATTATAGATATCTTTTTTTTTAAATATTGTAATTTTTGAAAATAGGATTCAATATTAAACAATAAAGGGCACTGGCCTTATTAGGTCCATGGCCTTATTTGGGTCAGGTACCTTATATAGATATACTATGCATGTGCAACGTCACTAATTTATTAGATAAGTGACGTCATAGGCAGATTTCATAGTTATATCTCCGTCAATTTTTGACTAAGAAGAAAAAGAAAAAACACTTATTAACTTATTTTTCAGGGACTATCGAAATCAGCAATAAAAAAATTTGATGCAAGGAGCCTATTTTATGCACTACAATGCTAACAAACCTTAAAAAAAAATTGACTTGATTCTTTGATGGTTGAAAACGAAAAGGCCTTCACTGCACACACAATTTTGTGTGTGCAGTGACGTCCATCATGACCAAAAATTTTCCAGCCATACTTGCTGCAAGAACTTTTTTTTTTTTTTTTACGGATATGCGCACACGCAAGGAAATGTCCTATCATGCTCGAGAAGCGGCAAGTGCTCGGAAATGTCGGTGTATGTGTTGGAAACATGTTCCAACAATCATGCTATCTCTTTTTGATGGCAAAATATTTTTATACATATAAAGTTTGCAACACTGCAGCGTTGTCGTCATGTCTATTTTGTCATGTCTGTCAATACATTGCGCGCCATTTTTGTCATTGCAGCAGTGTAGCTTGGAGCTTGTCCACGTTAACAAGCATCCAGAAACCTTTTCACATTTTAATAAATTTTATAATCTAGCTCTGCCCTGTTGGGCATCTAAGCAAGCTCTGGCTTCTTGTCATCTTGTAGTAGTAATTGTAAATAGTGTAAATATTGTGCAAATTGTTGTAAATATAGTGTCAGTGAAAAGCGCGTGTGTTTTAGTTCCCTATCCAGTCGATCATCCAGTCCACCTAATTATACAGTCCACTAATTATCAAGTTATTTATCTTCCATTATGTGGTTTTGCACATAATTTTGGCCAGTTCGAGCCGGATACTGGATAGTTCGGAACCTAAAAGTGCTTTAAAAACCCTCAAAAAGTGCCTTTTTAGTGGTTATTGATTGTTCCATCGTGATTTTTGGCGCCATGTGATGCAAAAAATCAATCATCCACTGTGCAGTCTGCACGTGTCTCAAACAACGTTGGGTTCCACGTGCCACCAGCGAAGGTTTCCGCCGGAACCGGAAGTGCGTAAGTAGAGTGGGGCGGAGCAAACAAACTTCACTTGTCAAATTCAAAAGGGTGCTTCTTTTTCTCGTCTGGTTCAACCCAAGTCACCCCGGGTGCAGTATCCTTGCTTGGTGCAATGAAGTACAGCCCCGGAGCAACGAACATGAAAGTGAGAGTTCACCACCCCGACAGCTTAACCTCAAATTAAATGTCAAACATTTGTTTACGTTTTGTTGTTTGTTGTTTGTGTATTTTGGATTTTTGCAGTGAATTTGAGTGAATTTGCATTATTTTTGAAAAACTGAATTTTTCGCATTAATTATTGCTATTTTTTCATTATTTATTTAAAGGATGAACAATTATCCGTTTTTCGTTTTGTTAAGTAGTTTTTAAAAAAAAAAATCTAATTTATTAGGTAATTTTAAATTTTGTTTATAGATTTCTTTTGATATTTTCTTATTTTTTTGATTGTAAACTTTGTAAATATGGCTACCAAAAAGCAAATTGAGAAATTATTGTCAAAGAAAAAGCAAGCAATCGACTCCATGGTTAGAATAAGTCGTTATATTTCCGATCACAAATCTGATCCTGACAGTGAGTATAAAACCGACCAATTTTTAGTTCGGAAGGAAATATTGCAGGACAGTTTTCAAAAGCTTAAAGACATTCAAGTTGAAATTCTGTGCCTTGATGGTAACTATGATGATTCAATTGATGATGTAGAAACTCTTTTTTATGATGTCATTGTAAGTATTAAAAATTGTTTACCTAAATCTAATTTACCAGGACCAGCTAATACTAGTAATTTAGCAACTAATATTGCTCAATCGGTTTCAATTCCACCTACTCAAAGTAATAATTTTATTTCTGCTGCTAAATTGCCCCCAATCGAGATACCTACCTTTGATGGAAAAAATTTAACCAATTTCAAATCTTTTATCGATATATTTAATGCTGTCATCGATAAAAATCAACAGTTAAAAGATGTTGAAAAGCTCTTTTATTTGAGAAATTATTTGAAGGGTGAGGCTTTAAGCTTAATTGATAATCTGCCACTAATAAATTCTTCATATCAAGGTGCCATAGATATTTTAAATAACAGATTTAATAATGAAACTATGATCATAAATTCACATATTTTTTCTATTTTGGATATTCCTGCCATACAAAAAGGTACAGCTCATGCACTTAGAGATTTTGTAAGTCGCATCAAGCAGCAAATTGGAGCTCTCAAAAACCTAGCCCAGCCTGTTGACAACTGGGACATGGTGATGATTTGTATTTTAAGTAGAAAAGTTGACCAATTTACCAACAGAGCCTATCAAATAGATCGTGATAGTTCCAAATTGCCGACTTTGGATGAATTCTTGGCCTATTTAGAAAATAGAGCTACAGCCTTAGAGGCAACCAGTAGTACCCCAGAGCATAAAACTAAAGAAAAGGTTTACGGTTTATTAACAAAACAAACCAATGTAAAATGTCCCTTTTGTTCAATATCTGGACATAAACTGTATAATTGTAAAAAGTTCAAATCCGTACTAGTAAAGGATCGTATATCTTTTGTCGACAGACAGAATTTTTGTAAATTATGTTTGAATATTCATTCTGGAAAGTGTAAAATGTTGTTTCGGTGTGGTATGTGTCAAAAGGAACACAATACCCTGCTGCATTTGGACAAGCAATGTGAAAATAATAATTTTCCTACTGAACGCAGAGTCATGTATTCCAATGCCTCACAGCAAGAATCTGTACTTTTACCTACCTTAAAAGTAAAAATTAAATCTAATAAAGGCAAATATATTTACGCCCGAGGTCTGGTTGACACCGGCTCTCAGATTTGTTTAGTAACAAACAGTTTAGTTGAAAAGCTAGGATTAAAAGCCTTTAATAGTTCTTTGAAT